AAGATGCACACCAGTAACGTTTTATTGCAAGTTGCTTTCAATTAAAACAGCTCAACGTGCATTTTAGTCTGGGACTACGTAAAGCCTTCTCTGTGAAATTAGTTTAATATCTGCTTGCTTCTCAAGTAAATGTTATCAGGAGTTTTAACTATTTACTGGAAAACAAGACAAAAATGCTCATTCAAAATGTTCTTTATGGAGTGTGAAACTTAATAAAGCACTAAAGATGGTGTTTATAAATGGTGATGGGTAACCTGAACTTCCAAATTCCTGAACACGCGCTTAATCAGTGAAAATAAATAACCCTCCATCAAATTTCCACTCTGATTCAAGATCAGGCGGAGTGTACCAAAGTGGGAAATCACCTCTAACATTTACAGACAACTAATGAGTCATTAATAAAGTCAGTAAGCCTCGTCTCCCACTGACCACATCCTCCACTGCACTTCTCCGTGTCTGTGTTCTCCATTATAGGTGGGGTTGGCAGACCTCAGCTGCTACAGCGTCAATGTGATCTGTCACGAGAGAATTCCCTTCATCTTCCATCTATCCATCTAAAACACTCACCACACACGCCGCTACCTGGTAGAGCCCTGTTTGAGTGGCCAAAACAACAAAAGCTGCTCTATGCATTGCCTTATATATCAGTTGAGCTCCACAGAGTGTGATAGCCAAGGGCAACAGTTGTTTTTGAACTTCAGTCAGTAGAACTTTCTGCACTCAAAATCAACTCAGCGGCACCTCTGAAATGAACCACATGTACGGTGACATTTAATTTTCCAAGCGTCTTCTGCCAGAGTGATGAGCCAGCAAACGATACGAGAGGACTACTTCCTGTCTCCACTAGTTTCCTCCGAATACTCAGTCATATTGTGATTGCTGTGTGGTTTAATGCTCAGAGAGGCAATTATGGAGAGAATGTCCCACTGGTCCAGGTTACCCCAAGTTCTCGGTGGCTCTGGGAGGGGAGAAGAACAGAGATGATTTACACAGCTCATCCCTCAGGCACCGCCAACTGTGAGTCACAAAATCTCTGCTCAGTGGTATGAGTCAGTGGAACAAGGTCGCCGCTCATCCAGACGAGCGAATGTGGAAAGCGAGCAGCAAGAGAAACAAACTGACTGATTTAAGGAAACATTGTTCCAGCTGATTGAGCAAGTCGTCCTCTGATAACTATCCATAAAATGTTTTCCATCTAAACAGGGCGTGTTTATGTTTATCTAAGATAAAATGGGGGAAGTTTTAACATGTTAGTGAGACGTAGGGAACAAAGTCAAATCGTCGGAAAATCCCATTTATTTTCTCTATAGAGGAATTGCTTTTTAATGATAATGTACAAACCTTTCATACCATGAAAGATGGCATACAAGTGAAGATATGAGACCAAGAGTGAGTGTGATTGCATTATATAAATATTCGCTGATGATGTCATTAATAAAAACACAAGAGATGGCAATGCTTTGCAACATTTCCAACTAGATGCTAAAGTTTAGGAACGAACTTTGATGTTGGCTTGACAAGCCTGAACCTCGAACCTCGACTTGAACTCGGGTAGCTTTGTGCATTGAGCTTTGTGCTCAAAATTGCTCCTGCATAAAAGACTATTTTGTGTTTGGCATGATAATATGACAATGTGTTTGGTCTCGAAGGAATAGATCTGTTATGCCAGAGACTATTTATATAAAAACATGCCACTTCCTCAATCCTTAATACAAATGTATAGGGTAAACCCATCCCAGATAGCAAACTGACATTGAATCAACGTGGAAACAACGTCTCTCATGATATTGAAACAACGTTGATTTTGCTCATCGAATTAACGTTGAACCAACGTCAGACGCGGCATTCTTCAAAGCTAAATGAAAATCGAAAATTGGTTTTTGCTTTTATAACGTTGAAACAACGCGTTGATTTCAAGTTGATTTTCCTTAGTTTTGAAAGAATGACGCGTCTGACGTTGGTTCAACGTTAATTCGATGAGCAAAACAATGTCAGATCAACGTTGTTTCGATGTCATATTTCCACGTTGATTCAATGTCAGTTTGCTATCTGGGATAACACCAAAGATGGCAGTTGTATGCAAATGCCCCGCCCCTCCCGCTGGACAGCCAATCGTCTGCTTTTAACGGTCAAGCTGGGAAACATTAAAAACGTTATACTATTTGAAAAGGTGGCAGATTAGATATGCAGTGTATGTGCGTTGTGTAAATTTCAGACATCCCAATTCTCCCAGAAGTTCTGGGTGTCTCCCGCAGATTGATAGAGGCTCGCTGATGCCCGCAAATGGGCTATATGCACGCATAAGTTCCGCATTTGACGCAAGGATGCTCGTCTATTTCCGGTTGTGTAGATTAAAGCGGAGGAAAACCGGAGAAAACGGGATTATGGCAGAGTCTTCAATATTTACTGTCCTCCCGTCTTTGAAACGAAACGTACGTTTAGATGTAATTTTATATACAGTTATGTTTATTTGATATCATTTTAAAAAGAAGCATAAACACAACGAGGGGTGTCTGTTTTATCTGTTTTTGTGACTAACGTTTCATTAGTATAACCATGGAGTATAAAATTCAATATAAATTCTCGCTATTGCATTGGACTCTATGATCGGCGGAAGTTATCGAGCATCCCTAATGCTTCACCGGAAATACCGCCGTGCATAGAGCCCATTAGTTCATCTCCCGTAATCTAGAGCGAGCGGGCGAGCAAGAGCGCGCATTTCAAACTGTGCAGCACGCACGCGCGCGCGCGCGCGCGAGAGAGAGCGAGAGAACTCTTGCGCATGCTCAGTAAAAGTATAACCTGTGGGAAAACAGCGTTTTAAACCTTATTTTAGTGTAAAGTCATCAAACTTTTTAAGCGATTTTTATTATATTTTACTGCTGTTTCTATACATGCAGTTTTTATGTCTCAGTGACCAGTGAAAGTGCAGTTCTGACTGACTCTCTGCCCATTCATTTAGATAGGAGCCTGGTCTTGGGCATTGCCAAGATGGCGGCGAGTGGCATGACTTGCCTGAAAGGACTTAAGCTGATGCCGCAAAGTATGGGACATGATATTGCCACGCATCAAGTAAGACATGCTGCTGCTGTACAAAATAGCGTACATTAATTATCCGTAGAAGATCTTATACAGGTGGAGCTGGGGAAGTTGGAGGGGAAGTACTCTTTTTTTAAGTATTTAGATCTATTCCCATCACATAAAATGTTTCTGTAATGAGCATTGAGCAAGCAGAGGACAGTCTGTTGATCACGAACTCAGATCATATCACTGCAACGCAATTTCTGCTCTCTCTAATGCTTTCACCAATGCTAACACGGTGATGATGTACAGTAAGAGCTTCATTGTGCAGTGTAACCTGCATCATTGATTTCATAACGAGTTGTCCAGATAAGCCAAGGGGGTAATCCATCAGCCGGAGGTTGAAGCCTCACGCCAATCGCCATTGTAGCAGAACTTCACCTGCTGTTAGCATCCCATTGACTCCCATTCATTTTGGCGTCACTTTGACATCGAATAACTTTACATCTGAGTTGTCCAAAGACTTCATTTGTCCATTATTTACTTCTAAAGAAACACAACAATGTATAAAAGGCTCTATTACTTTGTATCTTATGTTACGGCCCTGTAGAAGCTGTTTTTACATAACACGTCATAACCACGCAACTTTCTGTCGCACAATAGAGACATTACCGTATAGACAGGAGGAGAAGCTCGCAGGCAATCTTTTACTGTCTATGAGGCAATCGGGGGGACATGGAGGCATAAAGTCAAGGGAGAAGCCCATAGAGAGAGTCCATAAAAGCAACAGGACAAAATATTTCAACAATGTTTTTGAGGAATTAGGTGATTCTGATTTGTCTTGGCACAGCTACAGCTACTCGAACCACTAACGGCTCTTGACTGAATAACTTGAGTAGCTTTAATATAGTACAAACTATATTTATTACAGTGAACATATACATTGTTTTATTTGATTATTCAATTTCTGTATTATTTCTTATTTGAAAGCTACTGTTAAAAAGACCAACTTTATCTAAAAAAAACCCTTGATTTTATGGATGTGCTTTTGGATGACCAGGATAGTCTATAGGTCAAGGAAAAGGCAAGCCTTATATTTGTTTTCTTATCTGCAATGATTATACTTTCTTCCTTATTCACATCATCAGTCACACAATTATTAGAGGATATTCAAAGAGGGAAGTGGAGAGACTGCATTTCTTTTACATGGGGTATAAATCAGGAAGTTAATAAATTGTGTGTTAAATGACTTCTTGCCCTCAGCATACAGTATATCATGGGAATGAACCAAATGAAGCCCTATATACCCAGAGGACAAAGGAATGCTTCTGTTCACAATCATGATTTGTGAATGGTTCAAGAGCTGTCAGCTTCAGAGACACAAAGTGGAAGACGGGAGAGAGGGGGCAGCAGGGGTTGAGTTATAGGGAACAGCGCCCTCTATGATTCAGACATTTAACCTGTCAGGGGGTCCATTTTTGAAAGGAAAAAGGATTTTGAATTGATAGCCTATGCCCAGTAGTGTATTGATGTTATTGTTATGTGATGCATCTTAAAGGGACAGTTCAACAGAAAATGAAAATTCTACGTTGTTGTTCAAAACCTTAAGAATTTCTTTCTTCTGCTAAACACAGAAAGAAGATATTCCACTGTGTGTGTGTGTGTGTGTGTGTGTGTGTGTGTGTGTGTGGTGTACTTGGATGGATGAAATACAGTGCACAAATTCCGAATATGGGACACCATATTTTGGCAACAAGTCACGTCACAAAAAATGAAGATATTTTGAAGAAAATGGATAACCAAACAGTTGATGGGCCCCATTTTATTTTATGTTTTTGTTTAACTATCCCTTTAAATTAATGAATGGTGTGGGTTTTTATTTTTATTTATTTCAGTAAGGTTATTGCCTTAGCACTATTTCATTTCTCATGGGTAGAAAAAAACAACAACATATTTTGTTTAAAAATATTTATTTGCATAGATATTTGGTAATTAGTAGGCCTACAGTCTTATGCTTCGATTCACTTAGGCCTATTTTGATTTATGAGTCCATAAAACTGAAGCTAAACAAAAACACAGTAGCTAGGCTATAAAGTCAACTAAAGGTCAATTTCTTGATGGTCTTGGCAGGAAGAGAAAGGGATCAAAAATATAAGGTAAAAGCACATATTCATTTTATAGGTTTCAACAGAGTTTTCAAACGTGTCGGTAATTAAAAAAAGTTCGATAAAGTCGAAGACGACAGTCGACATAACAACAGTACGCTCGAGGGCTTTCCGTTGCGATTAGGCAGATGTTAAATATGTTCCCTTAAAAAGTCTTCTGCCCTGAAAGTCATTATGTAATTCGAACACTGTCTGAAAATACGTGTAGATCTTCTGTAATCCCTCATTGCTTTCTTCTGCTGTTAGGCACTTCGTGCTCCACTCGGGTGCTGACACACGTTTCACCAGCAGATGTCGCTGTTGTATTGTATATTCCATTTAGCAGCCATTCACTGGGTCATTGACCTGAATGCTTGCATGTTAGTTATTAAGTAACAGGCTAACAGCATTGGGTTTTATTTTTGTGCCTGCAATATTTTTCGCTTTTTGGCATTCAGTAGCCAGAGTACCAAATCCTTGATTAGTGATTTTTTTTTCCATGTGCTTTGAACACAGCCTGGCGATTGGAACAGGGCAAGTCTTTCTGAGAAAACCTGGATGCAGATCCGAAGGTTGCAAGGTTTATGGTAGTGAGAGGCTCCTGTTGTGCGTAGCATCCTTCACTGGAACTTCCTGACAGGCCAGATAAAACAGTCAGTGTGATCACTTCCCCCTCTCTCTCGCTCTCTCACATACAGTACACACATAAAGAGTTTGCCTATGCTGCTCATTTTTAACCCTATGAAGTCTATTGTATCATTTTCAATACACAAATTTCTAAATTCTCTAAATTACTGGCATGATAAAAACTGTGTTGTAGGCTACACAATCTACTATTTATCTTCAGTCATCTGATTGATACTTTTTTGCAAAATGCCTTTTAGTAAATTGAAACATATAGAGATATAGAGTGACAATTAATATTTGCAAGTAAACTGCTATATTGTTAAGATCTCATTAATTTCCATAACAAGCTATACAATGTAATCTCCATTTTTCACCAAATAAATATGAGCAACTTCACTAAACTGCATATTTTTGCTCAAAAGATTTATTTACTACTAGCTTTTCACATGTCATGCTTTACAAGGTTAACATTACAATACCGAATACCTGACCTTTTAACCTTTCGATGGTTTGACATACTGGTGTATTGAATTTTTTAAAGGAGTAGTTCACTTTTTAAAAAAAAAAAAAAAAAAAAAAAAACTTTTGCTGATAATTTACTCACCCCAATTTCATCCAAGATATCCATGTTATTCTTTCTTCAGTCGAAAAGTAATTAAGGTTTTTGATGAAAACATTCCAGGATGTTTCTCCATATAATGGACTTCAATGGGAACCAAACAGTTCAAGGTCCAAAAGACAGTTTCAGTGCAAACTGCAAACTGTTCAAAGGGCTTTAAACGATTCCAGACGATGAATAAGGGTCTTATCAAGCGAAACGATCGCTCATTTAAAAAAAAAAAAAAAGTTTAAGTTTTATAAGCTCAAATGGTCGCCTTGTTCTGTTCTGTGATGTGCGTTTCGTGACTCTCCAGTTCGAACTCGTTTATCAAAATGAACGAATCTTTTTTTGTTTTTTTTTGGTTCATTCAAAGAATGAAATGAACGAATTGACTCGGGAAAAGATTCGTTAATTTTGATAAACGAGTTTGAACTGGAGAGTCACGAAAAGCACATCACAGAACAGAGCAAGGCGACCATTTGAGCTTCTAAAACTTAAACTTTTTTTTTTTTTAAATGAGCGATCGTTTTGCTTGATAAGACCCTTATTCATCGTCTGGAATCATTTAAAACCCTTTGAGCAATTTGCACTGAAACTGTCTTTTTGATCTTGAACCGTTTGGTTACCAGTAACGTGCATTATATGGAGAAAAATTCTGGAATGTTTTAATCAAAAACCTTAATTTCTTTTCGACGGAAGAAAGAAAGACAAGGGCATCTCGGACGACATGGGGGTTGACACAGCTCCTATCTTATGAAAGACAAATATTCATGATTTAACTTGAACTAAGTAATTCTACCAAAGACTTATAAGACAATGCACTCATAGTTCTATGAATAGGAGAAAGTGCAATGCGCAATATGGCAGAATAAGTCCCGCCTTCTAAATAAAAGAGCCAATCGCCAATTGATAGCCATTGCGTCACTGCAGCTGCCGTTAGAAGCTCCGGTTGCTATAGAAACAAAATTCATGAGAGTTATTGTCAGATTTCGAATGTGAAATTTAAAGGGATACTCCACTTTTTTCAGAAACGGGCTCATTTTACAACTCCCTCAGAGTTAAACAGTTGAGTTTTACCATTTTCGAATCCATTTAGCCGATTTTCTGATATTTAGAAATATCAGGGAATACTATGGAAGTATTTAGAAGTATTAGGAAGTCAATGAGACCAGAAACTGTCTGGTTACTGATATTCTTCTAAATATCAGAAAATCGGCTGAATGGATTCGAAAACGGGAAAACTCAACTGTTTAACTCTGGGGGAGTGATAAAATGAGCCTATTTCCAAAAAAAAAAGTGGAGTATCCCTTTAACCGAAAGTTTGGTGAACAACTTTGAAGAATTTGATGTTTCCCCATTTGGGATCAGAGCTGCCCCGAGAGACGTTTCAAAGATGGCCGCCGAGTGAAACAACTTGCTGTCTTTAAGGGTTTTTGATATACCAACCAAATCTGCACTATTTACAATTTCAATAAAAGCAAGATCTCACATGCAGTCCCTAGATAGTTCACCCTCACACTGCTTTCACCTTCTCGCCTATCTCCACGGAATGATGCAGGGACAGATCCCTTTCCAGAAACAGCCTTTTCTGTTCACTGCTGGCGAGTCTGCAGGTGAGCCAGGTGGAGAGAGTGCAGCTCAAGACGCCCAGGCTGGCCAGGCAGAGGAAGGCCAGGTGCAGAGAGTACAGGCTGTTCGCCCGCTTCACCATCGCACGCACAAACTGGACGTTGAGAATTCCCCCAATAAGTCCACAGATGCAGCAGGCTGAAAACAGGATCATCTGTGATGTGAGGCAGAACAAAACAAGAATGAGATAGCAGTAATTACACAGCATTATGAAAGTTTTGTTTTACATGATAGTGTATCATGAGAGTGATAAAGCAGGGATTACAGACAACGGCTTACAGTGGTTATCTCTGTGAATGCGTGTATAGATTAGATAAGAAGTATTTATATTGTTGCGATGTGTGTCACTGCTATCCTCTTACAGTGGGTCCAGTTCTCCTTTTCGCACACAGTATCCCGCATAGTCCACAGACAAGAAACTGAAACAAAAACAGATCTGTTACTAAATCTAAATTCAATTATAGTACATTACACATTCTGGATATTATATTTTAGTTGCACAATTGGAAATTGGAAAGTTAAAAATCAGTCTTAAAAACAAGAATAATTACAGAATTTAAAGTAAATAAAAAAAGAGAAAAGTGTTTAAATACAATTTGTAATATAATCAACGTTATAGCCCCCCTCCAGTCAGTAATTGTATCCCTTAAAACTCATCAATTGATAATCAAAATGACATATTTAAATGTTTTTATTTCCTGTAAAAATGATTCATTCATGCCTTCAGTTTACAAGAACAAAACGTCAAAGTATCGTCAAGTTCCGCATTGGAAAATCTCGAGGGAACCGGGGGCGAATTTGTATTCTGGTTTCTGACGTCATACCCGCACGACTATGGTGTTGACTGATGAATTTGCATATGATTTGTCTATATTAAAAACACCAAATATACATATAAACAACATTTTCACCACAGGGGGTCTATAAGTACTAATGTAAATCATTATAATTGAATAATTGATTAACAATAAATTAACAAATAATAATTAATACAACATTGTATTTTGACATATATATATATATATATATATATATATAATTATTAATATTATTATTAATTATTAATTCAGGTATTAGTACATTATTCATGTACTATTATTGTAAAGTGTTACCCAATAATACATCAATGAATGAATTAATATAATAACTTATTTGAGACAGGGTTCATGTTGAACAAATGTTAATAAATGTATTTGGCAGAAGAATATAACAATATAATATCCTTTCTGCAAACTGCTTATACAATTATATAATATAATATATTATAATTTAATATATGTTGATATGCAGTACCTCAAATCAATACTAGTATCAGGTTTAAGAAAAAAAGAGTGTTAGAAATCACTATAATTGAGTAAAAATCAGAATACATAAGATAAATATATATGTTTAGGATATAGTATATTAATCTCATGCAATCTCTAACTTACACACGCGCCGCTCCATACAGGTGTAGAAAAGGAGGTTTGGCTCTTCTGCGGCCACAGGGCTTGTGTGATCCCCAGCACACCCAGAGAGATGCAGGACACCCCGAGTCCCATATGAAAGACAGAGAGAACTACCAAACTCCAAAGATGCGCTTTCTTGGTGCACATGCTCCTCCGGGCATCGTTCCTCAGACTGTGAGAAGAAGTCAGAGGGAGAAAACCCCTCTCTCACCTCGCCAACTAGCTATTACTGATCTTCTACTACACATTACAGCTTTAAGAAAAAAAAACTGTTTTAGTTTAAAGTGTTTAACTCAGGTGTCAGTTTTCTCTTCCAACAAGCTCAAATCTGTGTGCTGCATGTTTCTCTCATGCCAGAACTCTTATAAGCAGTTGGACATGTTGGTCACATGACTGCCTGATCTTTAACACACAAACCATAAAGACACACAGCCTTATAGCAGCCTATACTTCTCTGAAGACTTGTTCTTAAAAATGAGTACTTAAAGGGTTAGTTGACCCAAAAATGAAAATTATGTCATTAATTACTCAACCTCATGTTGTTCCAAACCTCTTTTTATTGAAATCTGAGAGCTTTCTGTCCCTCCATTGACAGCCTCCACAACTACCACTTTCAAGCCCCAGAAAGGTAGTAAAGACATCATTACAGTAATCCATGTGACTGCAATGGTTAACTTTAATTTTATGATGTGATGTGAGTGCTTTGTTCATGCTAAAAAAAACATCATCACTTTATTTACCAAATATGAATCTCCAATGCGAGTTCACACAACAACAACTGCTCTCGAATCAACACAATATGAATATGTCGTGGCGCTCTCGTGAACGCTTGTTGGAGATTGAAAATTTGTAAATAAAAAACAAAACTTTTTGTGCAAAGAAGACACTTGCAATGCTTCAAAAAATTATGCTAAACCACTTGAGTCACACGGATTACTTTTATGTCTTTACTCATGGGCGTCACGTCGGAACCATTGTGTATATGGTTCGGAACCACTTTTTAAGACCAATGATAATGGACCCACTCACTTTTACCGTCTGTAATTCAGCGCATAGCCCATGTCTGTTCACTTTTCAGAGCGTCGTCAGTCAAATCCATTCCACTTGAGGAATGCCCTAATAAATTAAACTTCATTTCTCCTGAATGGCTACATTTCTCAACGAGCCGCAACTGAGAAATAAAATAACCGCCCGTTCCAGTCAAAATGCATTGCAAAACATCAATAACAGCTTTAAGTTGTCAATGCTTGCAAATGACCATGCACTGTAAAAAAATATTGATGGTTTAACTTAAAAAAGTAAGTAAAATTTTAAGTTGATTGAACTGGAAAAAGTGAGTTAATACAATGAAGTAGATTAATTTAACCATCAGAAACTCAAACTAATAAGTTATCTCAACTAAATAAATTATTATAAAGTTGATTTGACAAAAGAAAAAATGTTGTGATAACAAATCTTGAAAATACAGTCAGCAGCGGGATGATTCAAGGATATAGCTGTGCATTTAATGCACAATGTGAAGCAGTGTTTAGTTACTTGTTTAATTGAAAGGCACAATAATACATTAAATGGCATTTACTCCAGTAATATTTTTCTGGGGAAGGACCCATACCACCCACTTTTTTTTTCATGGGTGTCGCTTCCGACACCCATGTCTTTACTAACTTTCTGATGCTTGAAAATGGTAGTTGTGCAGTCTGTCAAAGGAGGGACAGAATTCTGAAGATGAACAAAAGTCATACAGCTTTGGAACTACATTTTTGGGTGATGATCATTCTTTAATTAATTACTCCAAACCCATATTGACGTTTCTGCTTTTGTGGAACATAAAATAAGGTATTCCGAAGAACAATTTTTGCCTATACAATGAAATTCAATTTTTTTTGGTTAATTAATTATTAAGTCTAAATATTTGAAAAATTCTGCAACTTTAACTTCTTATACCCTAACAGCAACATAACTGCTGGAAGTGACTTCCTCGCTGTTTCTATCTGAGAAAATTAGTGTACTGTAAATGTAGTTTAACAAAATGTATTATGACAGCCATGACTCTGAAATAGCTCGGTGAGGAGTGAAAGCCAAGGGATCTATTTTTATCTTTCATCATTACATAAACTCCAGATACATGGCCCACTATCTACAGTACGCTGATGTGTTCAGATGCCCCTCAGTGAGTGTAACACTGCTCGGCCACCCTCTGCGTGTGATCCGGTCAAAGGGTCCTGCGATAAAGCCAGTCACATCCCATTAATCTCAGTTCGACGTGCTTCAGTGCTCATGAAAAAGGGGACTCTGGTACTGCCGAGTATGGCCGCTCTGTGCTGATCTACCTTCGGGCACTTCTCACTCACTCTCTGAGATCTGCATATGAAAATGTGTTCAATTTTGGTCCACTGTACTTTTAAGACCAAGCATCCAAGCTAAAACGGTAGCTGGTTAAATTATACAGTGTTGTTCATTCAGTATTATTCAGCTTTTTAAATAACGGCATGATAAAAACATTTTAATTTTGCGTCATGGTGCCACATTTCAGGAAAGAAACAATAACACTACACTGGAGGTCACTGCGTTGAAGCAGTGCAATGTGAAGCCTGCGGTTTTCCCTGTTTGTGCCTCTGAAGTGTGGAGCCAGTATGTTTTCAGGTCATTACTGTTTTTCCTCATTAACTTGGTGCCTTCTAAACTGGATGTACAAACAGCACATCTTGCCCACACAATACATAGCACAGAGAGTAAACTCTCATCTTAACCTATTCAGAAATGTTTTACCGTTTGTTTCACTGTTGTATTATATGTTAACCCTTAAAGGCATACGGGTGTTTAGTGACCCGGGATGTCATTCAATCACTATACCCCCTTCCTCACTAATTTTTTTAAGTTAGACATAAACCTTCTCAGTATTCCTCAATCAATTTATTATGAACAATATAACAAGAAAAAATTGAATATGTAATAATGATTGGGTAAACATTCATGCATTTAACGGTTAATTTACGTGATTAAGGATAAGGATTTATGTTACATATTTTATTGTGGAACTTTGCTGGGGAGGGAAATGGTGAAGGACAGTTTCACAGTTTAAAACTGCTAGTAGCCTTAATGTCACTAAAAATGCAATGGCAAGTAACACATGAAATAAAATGTACTCGGTTTCTAACGTAACCTCGGTTCTCTAGAAGAGGGAACGATATCTTACACTAGGGGACAACTTATTTTCCTCAAGATATTGAAGCCAAAAAATTATCCTTAATTTTGAATTAATGTAAAACGCGTTGCGGCTGCATGCAGACATCGGCAAGACGGCTCGCGTGCCTATTGGCTGTCCTGCGGCAACTGCAACAGTCTATCGAGAGAGGCCCTTGTGATAAACCCATCTCCCATCTAAAAACATCTGATAGAAAACACAGCTGACTTGACTGCTTAGAGAAAATTATTCTCAGGTCACTGTACAGTAATTTCCATTGACACAAAGATGTATCAGTGTACGGGAGCACAAACCCCAGTGATATACTGTTGTGCGGTGCCCCGGTAAAATATTAAAAGGGTAAATATTTTCAAAAGTGTCTAGCACCACCATTGGTTTTGGATTATGTGAATGGTTGTTTTGTCTTATTTTAAACAATTTAAAGTGTCCCTATAGTCAATAATTTTATCCCTTAAAACTCATCTTTGATCATAAAAATTACATAGGCTATTTAAAAGTTTTTTCCTTGAAATGTATCATGCCACAAAATAGCTTGACTGTAACTCTATACCCTTTCCTCATTTAGTACACGGTTACAAGTGATATGCAAATAATACCCCGCCTCCACTCACGTTGGAAACACCAGCGATTTCAGAATGTGATTTTGAGAGTTTGAGTCTTTGGTTCCCTGCAGTTGTAAGGAGAAATACTCAACTTTGCACGTCATGGTTTGTCTCAAATCATATTAAAAACACCACATAGACATATAAAGAACATTAACAGATTGATTTTTCACCACAGGGGGACTTTAAAGTCACCTTGAGGCCCTTTAGGCTAGGGGTCCATGGCCCCCTGTTTAAGACTTGGACTTTTATTTTCTGATCAAAACCCCCTAATACAAAATGATACAGATGAATATGAAAATGTCTGTTTTTGACTGAAAAGCTTAAAGGAACTTAAACAATAAGTCTCAAAAACTCTTAAGATTAACACTAGAAGTGCCAGAATTCCAAAACTACTAGAACGGCCACAAACGGTCATTTTGACCGTTAGATTCAAAACAGTGTTGATGAATAATTTTCGTAATTATTTTTGTCAACCACATTTTTTCAAAGACGAAAACGAGACGATAACTAAATAAAAACTAGGTTTGAATGACAAAAACTATGACGAAAATGTTAGATAGTGACGATTTGCGACGCGGTCAAGGCTATAATAATAGGACTCGCAGAACTAGTGAACAGCCCATGCAGCAAAACAAACAGCGCAGGACAGGGCAGAACATCTGGATCCGCCGTGTCTGATGATAGCAGCCGTCTCTTTTTGCTTGATGTGGACTCTGACTCTGAATCACTCTCTGATGAGGAGGAAATGTTAACTTGCACCCAGGAAACGTCGCTGTCACTTTCCACCTCATGAAGATGCGTATCTATACCACGAGTGTCATTTCTCGTGGCATTTATACGCCAAAAGTGTTTTTTTCGTGTATATGGTACGCACTAAAAAACCCTGGGTTAGGTTTAGGGGGGAGGGGGGTGGGGAGTTCGTGTGTATTATACGCAAAAAAGTGCGTATAATATGTACGCGAAAATCGCGTGCCAAATACACGCAAAAAGTGCTTTTGGCGTATAAATGCCACGAGAAATGACATTCGTGCCATAGATACGAACTTTCATGAGATCGGGCTGGATTGTTCCCCTGCATCCGAATTATAGATAACTGTAGTCCGGTTTTATTTGCTTATTTCTGATCAACAACTAATGTAGAAATTATTATATAGCAAACACCGCTACAGAGGTGACCGGACGGACCATTCTGTTGACAGTTGAGAGAGAACACGATCAACCGCGGGATATTTAACAAAAAAATACCGCAAAATTCAGTGCGGTCAATATGACCGTCTATGGCCGAAATAGGTAAACATGTTCATTTTTTTTGTTTTGCCTTACGTTTACGTAACTTAATTTATATGAAAAGCATTTTAAATGAAAATACAGACAATTTTAGGAAAAGTCAGGTACCAGCAGGATTTTATTATTTTTTTCAACAAAGTTATTATATATATAAAATTCAAAACGGTCAAAATGACCGTTGTGGCCGTTCTAGTGTTAAGGACACCCAATAAATCCCTGGAGTTGTTGTTTTGAATACACTGCACAATAGGGTTGTTTTTGGTTGGCAAGTATAACGAAACCTTTTCAGCCATAATATGATGGTCTTAGGGAGAACTGAAAACTCTTATTGGATCACTCGTGAATAATATTCATCTTAGCCTTTAGGTGTAAATAATGAACACCTAACTAGTCAAAACTCCATAAAAGACTTTTATTCTACCCCATTTCATTGTAGGTAAAGACCTTAATTCTTAAAGCTGAATTGGCTTTGCTCTATTGCTCAATGGATGCCAAAGGTGAACTGCTTGCAGAATTTTTTTAGCTGCTTTGTGAGTAACAACATGCCATTTCCTCACATACCCGACAATATGATGTAACTCCATAATTTGAAAACAACAGCTAAGGCTTCTCACCAAAAATTCAAAGAGCAGTTAATGATGTTTTGGCAAGGCACAGTTTCTACTGTATGTTACAGGCTGTTTTCCACTGCTCTCATGCTGAAAAGCGCTTCATGCTTCATCAAGCCTTAACCAGGCCTCCCACTCTTTTAGTAAACCTGCTGAAGTACAATTGCATGGAACCAAACGTTAAAGGATGAAAAAAAAGAGTAAATTCAGACCATCATTGAGGTTTTTGACACAATGTTAGTGTCCTAATATATGTAACTTTTAGTTGCGTACCAGTCAGTACACTGTAAAAAGATATTGTTGGTTTAACTTAAAAAATTAAGTAACCTGGTTGCCTTAAAACTTTAAGTTGATTGAACTGGAAAAACTCAGTTAATATAATGAAGGAGATTTATTTAATCATCAGAAACTCAAAATAATAAGTTATCTGAACTAAATAAATTATTTAAGTTGATTTGACAAAAGAAAAAATGTTGTGATAACAAATCTTGAAAATATTTTTTTACAGTGTATTGTGGGTAACAACACAAGTTAGGTAATCAGAGCATGTTTTCAAGTAACTAGTAAAGAACAAATTTACCATGCCAAACAAAACAGAACAAATCTACTAGTCTACCTCCTGATTCACTGGGTCCCAAAGCACCGCTCTGCCATCCTTACGGCAGAAAAAACAAGAACCTCTGGAGAAATTTGAATGAACTGATCGTCCAACTTAGACCTCCCAAAGGGGTACTGGCAGGTCTACTTTCCCCTCAAACTAAGGACAAAATGGCCTTCAATGCTCCGTCGAAACATTGGCAGTACTGGGTCCTTCCCTTTGGGCTTCATGGGCCCCCAGCAACATTCCAGAGGCTTATGTGATTATACAACCATTAACAGTTCACTGAGGCTTACTTGGATGACGTCATAGTCCACTCAGAGAGCCGGGAGGAACATCTATCTCGATTACGGGAAGTGCTGTCTGCGCTACGTCCGGTCCGGCTGGACTAACTTCCAAACCCCGCAAATGTCACCTGTACCTCTGATTTACCACATCGAACGGGATGTTTTTGGGCCCCATAAAGAAAAAAAGCTCTTTGAGACTGCCCTCAGCCCACCACCAAAAACATGTATGCGCCTTTCTGAGGTTGGCATGGATCTCAAGCACTGGCTTTCACAGACTTGACTATGGAGGGACAGCCAGATAAGGTGCAGTGGAGCCCAGTGGCAGAAAGAGAAACCTTATGTCTTGTACCCTGTACTCCATGCTACGGACTTCTTGTTGAACTTCACCCAACAGATGGATGCTTCTGATATGGAGCAGGGAGCTGTCCTGTCTCAAACATTCAAAGGGGAAAAACATCCAGTGACCTATATCAGCTGACAGTTATCAGCATATGGTATAATGAGGTTGAAAAAGAAGCGCCGATCATAAAGTTAAGATACTACCTCAGCCAGCTCTGGGGACCACTCACGCACCCCCTCCAATGGATCTCAAAAGTAAAGGACACTAATGCAAGGGTCACCAGATAGTTCCTATATAGCCCTTTTGAGGCTCCATGCAGCTAAAATATGTAATAAATCAAAAGTTGTGATAAATGACAGTGACAGTGAGAATATCACTAAATAAAGACTATGTAAATATGTAAAAGAGTGTGTAATTATGAAAAGTGAACAACAATGTTTTCTATGTAATTTATGAAAAATCAAAAAATTGATGGGGAAACATTAATTGACAGAACTTTCCTTAAGAAACCTCTGTCTTTTATTTGGGTCAGTGCTGCTTAGACTTTAATTTGGTCTTCAGTTTGCAAACTTCTCTCTATATAACCAATCGGAGAGCTCTAGTCCCTCCTCATCGCATGCTGAGATTTGGAGTGGGTCAATGATATCTAAAATAACACACTAACAGCCCCCGTGGGCTGTTTGACAGAAGACCATTCAATTAAGTCCAGAGTTTTGGACATCAATCACATTAATATCATAGATGTGAGATGGTTAATTGTCCTTTCATAATCAAAGAGATTGTTCATCCATCCAAAAATTAAAATTCTGTCATCGATTACTCACCCTCATGTGAATTCAAAAATGTTTCAACGTTTTTTTGTCCATACAATTAACGCCGATGGGAACGTCCAGCGTTTTTTCACGTTTCACAGAAGTTAAAAAAGTTTATGAACTATACCTTAGTTCAAAAAGCATCTATTTCTCAAAGATTGACTTTATGGCAGCCCATTCCTTTAACATACTTGACTTTCTGCAGGGCTTTTATGCCATAATTTTTTAGTACATAATCGCGACTTGGTAAAAGGCCAATACAGCTTAGCTGAGCTGAACATTTAGAGGGTGACACTGAACAATGAAGCTCTTAGCAGGATAAGGCCTTGGTAGACATGCAAGTTAAATATGCAACAGATAACCCCAGAAAAGGGTGAAGTACATGTTGGTGAGCTAACAGTTTTGAAAGGTTGGGGATTTTTTGAGACTTTGCTGATGTGTGACTGAGAACGCCTGTACTCTTCCTTTTGAAATAGTTCAGAGAGTCTAGCATGACTGAAGACTAATGAGCTTTGTAAGTATCCTGTACTGTAAATGAAGCTGTGACATTGAGGTCACACACTGGAGAACCCATTGGTGTCAAAATAATGGCATCATCTTTAAATCAGTGAAAGGAAGTGAGGCTGAACTGCACATCGCTACACTAGCCAGAATGCAATATAGTGTCATGTGCAGTTAAGATATGCTGCCCATTGTGCATTTCACATTAAATCAAATGAGGAGATATTTTAAACAATTGAAGTAATTGAGAATAAAATACTTAAAACAGTTTTTTATTAGTATCTTTGCCTGTTATTACAGAGCTCCTTCATGACATAAGTGGTAATATTTTAATTATTATAATATATCTCAAAGTGTATTAGCATTAAAAAATACAACAATACAAAATAGATTTAAGACTGTTCTAACACAGGAAAAGTCTGCAATTAAACAAGGACCCTCACTCTTAAACACTGTAGTTAGTACACTTAAAATGACAACTAGAAAAAAACACAAAATACAAAAATAGATAATTTGGCAGAACCATGCAATATACTTAAGTGTAACGAATGACCTGATAGTATACCTTACGGTATAACCTGGGATACAATCCAGGAGAGCCAAAATGCATGTAACACTAACCAGATATTCCACATAGAGCTTCAAATATTAAAACATACTCATATAGACACTTACAATTCAAGCAATTTTTTTTAAGAAAAACAAAGAAAACTGATGACCTTGAGGAAGTTAATCTAGAATGAAAATATATTTCAGATTTCATCTCAATCATAATTAACAATCAAATTTCCTATTTCTTTTTCCACCAACAACCCTTTAAAACATTAATATTACATAAGGGACTTCGCAGAAAGCTCAAAGACAACAGTTTTTGACAAGTTAATCAGTGAATTGAACATGAAATAAAGTGTCTTTAAAATACAACACATATAATATACAGACATGTATATACAGTAACAAATATTCAGTACTTTTCATGTGTAGATATTTATGACGTCTAAAAACATGGCACAGATATCAGCATGAATTCAACATGATCACCTCAATATGAAGTGAAGGTGCTCCAAGAGTTGTCCCCTAACCTCTGAGGAAGGCAGATGCCCTCAGGACCTCCATGCAGTTGGCAGTGATGAGAGCTCCAGTAATCTGTCTCCACTGCTTGGTCACTGGGCTCTTCATCTTATCCAGGGCCAGGTGAAGGTCCTGAATCATATCCCTGTAGCCGTCCCCGTATCGCTTACTCCAGGCATACAGGAAGTCATATGCAGGCTTCCACATTGACTATTGAATAAAGAAAAATAAATCAAATCAAATCAAATATGACATGGCATGACATGACTAGGATTGGAGCTTATTCTGAAGATTTCTAGCTCACCTGTGCACTAACTTCTCCATTTTTCCCTTTGTGTGGTGCCTCATAGGCAGCAATCTGGGAACTGGAGAGCTTCCCTAGTCGCTCGCCAAGTTCCCGCCATCGCGCTCCAAGCTCGACTGCTGTGGACAGAATCACTATATCCTGTATGAGATGGGCTACTACTCCTTGAACATCCATCTTTAACAACCCCTGTGGGGAATATACATCATTACTAAAACCCTTGTTTTCCTCAAAATATTGTTGTGCACAAATGTATGTCAAAATAAACTATACATACAGTGATAAGCTCATGCTGGAACTTTTTCTTAATCTTCTCTGCATGACAGTCTTCCTTGAGCTTTTCTAGAACACAGGCCACCTTATCTGCCTCAGTTTCAGCATGTCTCCTAGAGATGGCGTCAATCGAGACCTCGGAGTAACCGAGAGCCTCAGCAAATGTTCTCCAGCTTTTGACGTGCTCCGTGACCAAGGTCTGAGTAGCAGAGTACATGTAGGTGAGTTTTTTAAAAGGAATTGTCACATTATCCAAGAGGACAGACGTGGTGAGATTAATTCCAGTGAAGTCGATGACTTGGTCCTTGGTTATGAGCTTTAGGTTCTTACAGTGCACCAAGCCGACTCTTCCTCGAAGAAAGCCGATGTACCATTCCTTAACCTTCGTCTGACCTATAGATCTAACGGTGTCCTTAGAAAGCAAAGCAATTGTATCCCCTTTAAAGTATTCCAGGAGATATTCCACTCTCGGTTGTCTGAGAATTGATTTTATCGCTACCCCATACCAATGTAAATCTACCGGTCTGTCCTGAAACTTCTGGGTGAGTATTTCTGGGATTGATTCCTCTGGAATGGTCGTCACTTCCCTCTGGCGATCTGCCCGCCTTTGGCTGTTTTTTTCTAACCTCAGAGGGGCCGCCTCAGGGGAGGCGACATAGAAGTCTCCCAAAGTGAGACTATTGGCATCCTTCACCTCAATGCTAAGTTTGAAGGGACTCATTTCACCTCCACCAACCTTGAACAGATCTAACGGTAGATGGAGCACTTTTCCAGCTTTGAGCTGCTCCTGCTTAACCGCTTTATTCCGATCCACGGGTTTCACTTCAAAGTTTGGTTCCAACACTCTAGAAGCAATGTGAAGATCTTGAAGACCCTGCGGGTTGAACTGATGCTTTCCCCAAAGCTCCAAGACAACAGGGGGCAGATTCCTGTTACCCCTCTGGATATCAGAGAAAGGGAGCTTGGGTGGAATATTATTATGGTTCAATATGACTACCACTACTTTGAGCGATGGGTGTATGTGCTTGGGACCATAAACGGCCACTGTCATTTGGCGATCCAAGTAATCCCATACTGACGTCGCAGGTTGCTCCAGAACGGTGGCCTCAGCAGCAGTTATGACATACATGTGTGGTTTTAAATCAAGGAGCTTCATCTGTAACACATCATTGTATATGTAACAGTCTTTTATTTTTTGATAAGGTCCCTCTTTCCTTTGAGAGACTAGACCCACAAAAGAGGTTAAGACTTGGCTTGTGGGGTCAGTTTTTACTTTAGCAGCCATTCTCATTTCCAGCGAAATTCCCCCCGAAACATTGCGGTTACTGAGGTTGACTTCTAAAAGAGGGCTCAGAGTTGTGGTGTAGTTGTTGTTTATTCCAGTGGGTGGATCGAGGAGAACTTTGAGGCCAACGTCTTGGAACTCACCTGGGGGGACGTGTCCCTGGGGAACATGAGCAGTGATATCGGAGTCTGGCAACTGCACAGAGCCTCCAGCGTGGTCAATCTTGCAGCAGATTTGAATGTCTGTGGCCTGAGTCTGGGCCCATCCAAGACTTTGC